AAGGCACACACACCTACATCCCTCTGCTCAAAACAACCTGGAGCTCAGAACTACAAAGCCCATCTTGAGAGGCCCGGAATGCAGAGTTGGAAGGGACCTTGGAGGTCGTCTAGTCCAACCCCCTGTTCAAGGAGACCCTATCAATCAATCCATCCATCCATCAACCTGCAAGAGATGCTCATGAGGGGCGTTCCCAGTTGGAGAATTTGATGCCTAACAACTCTTTAATTTCCTTTGACGGTTGGTCCTTTCCTCACTACCGTTTGTTCAGGGACGGTTCGCTGTTACAACAGGACTGAAGAAAGCGACCGAGGAGGGTTTTTCACACACCGTTGCAGTATCCCCGTGATCAAAATTCAGGCATTCAGCATCGGGTTCCTTACAATGGGAGTGGGGTGGGGTGGCACATGATTTCCTTTTGCAACCGTCTGACGAGCAACGTCAGGAGGGAGACTGGGTTCAGTCCTAAGGTTCGGCTGTACTTAAAAGCAGAGCTGACGATCTAAAGACTAGCTAGAAAGCAAGAAATCCAACCATTTCCTGCTTCCTAGCTAATCTAAATCTCCCGGCACAGCAGAACAGATGATGGTTGGAAAAATAGAAATTTAGCAGGCAAGTTTACCGGGTAAGGAGTGGGCAGGGAGGGTTCCCATGGGCCATGTGGGCGGCGCAGCCTTGTGTTTTTGTGCAGCCTGCATTAATTGCTTTGGGGGTGAGATTTCTCTGCGGCCCACCAAAATTTTCTCGCGGCCCACTGGTTGGCGACCACTGCTATATACTATATACATATATAGTATTAAAAAGCTTATGACCACAATCTTATGTTGCTAAGTAAGACGTTTGTGAAGTCATTTGGTTACTGCCCCATTCATGTTCTCGCCATGGTTATTAAATGAATGCAGCTTCCCCATTGAATTTGCTGATCAGGAGGTCGCAAAAGGTGATTGCGTGAGCCCCCCCAGGATGTTGCGTTGCAAATGTGAGTCAGTTTTCAAGTGTCTGACCACTAGGGATGCTGCAACAATCGTTAAGTGTGGGGGGGAAAAAAA